TTTTCTATGGCCATACTTTTGTGCCTTGCAAGTCTCCTCCATCTATGTAGAGTAACATATTGCCTGCCTGATATACAAAAAGCTTAAAATAAGCTGTTCCAGCAATTCTGCTAGTGCTAAAAGGATTTGTGTAGTAGTTCTAGAGAAAGCCAATGAGGAAATGTTTAGACACATGGTAGGCCTAGCACCATAGTATCATAGTGCCCAAAGTATTCTGAAAATCCTGGAGCAGTTTGGGTGCCTTTTACAATGAATTTGCCAGGACTGTGTGATCCAACATGGTGCACTTGTCTGAAAGGGCATCTATAGGGAAGTCCTCCCATGAGTGCAGTGCCCAAGGCTTTGTGATTTAAAATATGGCACTTCATAAATGCGAGCTAGGATTAGGTTTACCCTTCTTAGTCATAATAGTGAGTCCTAAGTGCTCTGCCAGGTACACCCTTTACTGCTGAAAAATCATAGCCGTCTCTATCAAGCTGGCAGCATTTGCTTGAAACAATTAACTCTGTTTACATGGGTTGATCAGCTGGAAAAGCATTCAGTATGTTTTACTAACTCTAATGCAAGTTGTTCCTTTCCCTGTGCAGATATAAGGGAGATAGGCCTACCCATCTTGAAACAGAACACTGCATTCGCCAGTGCAAAGAAAGCTACCTGTGGATTCCCTCAATGCAGGAGAATTTCCAGGAGGGAAGAGCCCTATTGTAGCTAACCCTAATCTCTTTTCACTCTTCAGAGTTTTCACATCAGACATGTCTTCAGAGTGGGAAGCATGGCTGAGGAAACAGCTGGAGTTGTGCCTGCCAGAATGGTCCCTCTGGAACTGGACTCAGGTGCCACAGCAACCTTTACAAACTGAGATTTTAACAACTTTTCCCTGAAACCTCACTAGGATCTAACCTTGAGTGCAACTCAGTGAGGACCAAGACTTAAACCCTAGCTCTGAAACAGGAGCCATGTCCAAGAAGATGGCTTGACATTTTTTTATCTAATTGTTAATTTCTTGGTTAATAAAGCAAAACTCCAGAAAAGGGGCTGAGTTTTGATTCTACATAGTTTTTCACAACAGGGCTGAGACATGTCTGATGTGAAAACTCTTGAATCTCCTGATGCTAGCTAATTTAAAATCCAGTCCATAATATTGCACTCAGAAAGGCATTTTCATTAATTAATGCATTGGTCCCAAACTTTTTCATCTATGCCACCCCCTACCTGGTTTGTGCCCACCTGGGAGCTACGGTCAGGAGCAGGGGCTATGGTTGGGAGTGGGGCCAGCGCTGCAGCTGGAGCCTTATCTGGGAGCCTGGGGCCACCGCTAGGTGCAGGGTCAGACTTGTGGCTGGGACAGGGGGTGGGCCAGACTGGATTTGGGGACAGAGCGGGTTTGGGGAGCGTATACCACCCAGCCCTGCTCTGGACTGAGTAACACTCCCCCTCCACCTCCCGTAGAAGTCCCTGAATATTCCTTCATGTCTGGGTGACATGGTGCGTGATTTGGGGGGTCATTACATTAACATTTAGTCCTTGTGCTACCCTTACAAACACACTTACAAAGGAATGAGAAAAGTGCATCCAATGGGATCGCAAGATAATTTTTAATTCTTGTTTAAAATATGTATTTCTTCTGTTTTGGTTTTCCTAATGATTGTGAGTTATCTCTTTGCTGTTGATGTGCCCACCGCATCTTTTCTAACAATGGGTTGCCACCTGCTGGTGATAGTATTGAGTTGTCAGACTGGTGTGTGATGGCTTCCAGTTGAAAATGTATGCCACACTGTATATAACTAGGGGAAACTGAATTAAACATTGTTAAAGAGTTTTTGGTTTACAATTGTACATAGAGTAAATAAGCTTCTATTATTTATTTCTCAGCTCTTATCCTCCTTCATTTTCCTGACAGTGGCTTAAAGCTTTTATACACAAACATGTGCCTGCACACATATGAAATGATGGATTGCGCGTCAGATTCATGTGAATTAAATAGCTTGAGTTAAACCACTGGAGATAATAGAAGTGGTTGGAGACAAAAAAAACCTACCCACACCTTTCCTATACCCTCTTTGAAATTATCTGTATTCCCTTTTAAATTTCATTTATGGTTCTCATGTCAACCAGTAACCTATATGAAACTGCCGTTATAGCCTCATCTTTCTGTACTGTTTCTTCTCCTCTGTCTCCCAGTATAGTTCAAATAGATGCAAGTGTGTATATGTGAATTATTAAAGTGTTCTCAGTCAAAGTCTGTAATTCCCCAGCATTTCACCAAAGCAGTTAACTTGTAAACTGATTGGTTGCATTATGCTGGCTCTCTTATGAAGAGAGGGTTTAACTTCAATAACATTAGTGTTTTGTTGAGTGTGAGTTTGAGCAGAACTTGGTCCTAATATTATTAACAAATTCAGCTAAAGATATAAAATCCTAAATTCAGACAAGGGCGAGTTAAACTTCTTCTTTATAGCTTACCTGTATGAGACCCATCTCCGTTCTATTCACTTGCATGGTTGAAGCATGTGTAGCTAGCTATGGCACTTCCAGAACCCTAGTGCAGAGGGGCTCAGAGACCAATGTCTCAAAGATCAAAAGGCTGAAGTTAAGAAGGTGTGGGATTAAGTCAGGGCAGGATTTATCTGTCTTCTATCAGCAAATTATTTTTGCAAAGCATCCTGAGGCTTTGAAACTGAAAACATGTTTCTTAGTGAAGTATGGAAACCAGGTGTTGTTCTCTCTGCAAATTCAGCCAAACTGATCATTCCACTCCTGTCTGCTTCATCAAGATGATAGCTAGTCATATTACACTGTTAACTACAAACAACTTTCATTTTGTCAGTGCGTATTTAAAAATCAGAGTTCAACTAAATGCCTCTCCCCTCCTCTCCCCTTCCTCTTCCATTCAGGTCATGGGTTCCTATAGGTGTTTCATTGTTGTTGTTGTTTGAGCAAACTACTCTTGCAACACCCTTCAAAGGTGGACTTCTGACTTTCAGTCAGTAAGTTGCAGCTAGCTGTCTCACATATAGGAGTTTGCTCCAGAACTAAGGAATCTGGTTTTAGGTTTACACAGCTGCATGAAAAGTAAACCATATTGAGTGCACAAATTTTCTGGGCCACTTACAAATTCCTGGCTTGGATATGAAAGGAATGCTGGGACAGACAACATGTGCATAGCTGATGCTGCCTGGTTAACATTCCAGTGATATCATGAATTTGTATCTTTGTGTAGTGTTACACTGAGAGTTGGATGAAACCTCGCTGATGCTGGTGAGCAAGATAGCAACCCTTCATTTGGAAGAAGCAGTTAATAGAGTGTTTTGTGGCATCAAATATAAGACCAAAAGGGACTGCTAGATCAGCAGCTCTGACTTCCTGTATGACAGGCCACCAATACTGCCCAGCTCCTGCACATTAAATCCAATAATGGAAATGAGACCAGAGTAAATGAGACCCACAGCAAACTACTTTGTGCCCTGGATAGATAATAAGTAACTGAGAAGTGTCCGTGTCTGAGGCCCCAACAATGGCAGGGAAATGATTAAGTGAGATCTCGACAAATAATCCTGGCAAGTGACCTGCATCAGATAGTGCCATAATCTACTGTCACCAACAATGCTATTGGGTGGTAGAAAATTCCCTCCTAAACCAACATATGGCAATGAGTTAGCTACACTGAGCATGTGAGCCCAAGCCAGGTAGGCAACCACCTGAGAGTGAGAACACTCTGTTACCTCAGAGACTTGGCCTGCCCTGCCCAGTGTTCCATTTTCAGGCATGGCCTTCCCTGATGCTACAGAGGAGAGGGTTAAAAAAAAAAACCTTCCAGAATACACTGAAAAAAATCCCCAGTTGAGCTTCTTTTGAAATAAGACAGTTAAAACAACAGGGCTGTGTCTAGACTGCCAAGTTTTTCCGCAAAAGCACTTGCCAGCTGTCTACACTGGCCGCTTGAATTTCCGCAAGAACACTGATGATCTCATGTAAGAAATCAGTGCTTCTTGCAGAAATACTATGCTGCTCCCGTTTGGGCAAAAGTCCTTTTGCGCAAAAGCTTTTGCGCAAAAGGGGGCTTGCATTCAGCCTCACTGAAAGCTCTTTGCATGTATAACTCAGGTGCTGACCGGCCCTGCATTTGGCCTGTGTTTTGGCTGGTGACTCCTGGGGCTACGTCTAGCCTGGCATAGTTTTCCGCAAATACTTTTAACGGAAAAGCTTTTCCGTTAAAAGTATTTGCGGAAAACTATGCCAGGCTAGACGTAGCCCCAGGAGTCACCAGCCAAAACACAGGCCAAATGCAGGGCCGGTCAGCACCTGAGTTATACATGCAAAGAGCTTTCAGTGAGGCTGAATGCAAGCCCAGAGAGCTGGGTATTGTTTTAAGGGAACTCTCTCTCTCTCTCTCTCTCTCTCTCTCTCTCTCTCTCTCTCTCTCTCGTGTGTGTGTGTGTGTGTGTGTGTGTGTGTGTGTGTGTGAGAGAGAGAGAGAGAGAGAGAGAGAGAGAATCAGTGAGAAATGCCACAAAAGTAAGCACCAGAAATAGCCAGAGATGCACTTTGTAGCCTAACCCTGAACGAAAGCTTTTTGAGAGTGAGAGCACTTTTTGGTAGAGTGCTGGCTGGGAAAAGAGGCTTGAAATACAGAGCAAGGAAACTGACTCCTCTCACTTAATTCCTACTTTGTTTAAGGATACGGGATTTTGTACATTATTTATAAATAAACAGGATTCCATCAGAGAATATCTGATTCCATCATCAATTTCTCCTCCCAGCTGAAACTTGATAAGACCCAAATTCAACTAACCACTCATGTCAAAAAGAATTATGTGCAGCTGAGGGGTTTTTTTTAGGTTTGGATTATTCTAATTGATCTTTCTTGGACACTAGATTACTCTACAAATAATTTTCCTTTTACCATTAAATTTGTTATGCTTAGAAAAAAAATTCTCACTGTAAACCAGAGAAGATGTTTGACTGGGCACATATAGTATGTTCCTGTTTCTGAGCTGGTGCAATGGCTCCCAGCTGTCATTCCCATAAGCAGGTGGTGTAAAACAATAGCTCAGCAGTCACATTTTCCAAGCTGTCTATCATGAAGCTGTAGAACCTTCCTCAGTGAGAGATTGTGAAGACTTTGAGAACTCCGCTAGTCTGTGTGTCTAGCCGAGACAAAAGGCCACACAATGAAGTTCCACTACACACATCTTCTCTTCTTTTGCTCAGGTAAGCTCATTTCAACAGCTGATTCATTTTTTATTTAGTTCATTGCTTGATGCGTTGCCCACCACTCTTTGTGTACAATGTGTATTCTGTTGATGTGTGTTAGTAAAGCTTTATGAACTTTCAAGGATTATATACCACATTAATAAAATATGGTTTCTGAGTGCAATAATACCAGCTTATTCGCATTTGAAGACTGAACAGTTGCAGAAACATTCAGGTGATTTATTCACAGTGTCCAAAATTCGAGCTGCTTTCTCCCTTTTAATTTGATACTTTTTTCCTGCTGTGTGCAGTGTTTTAGCACAGAACTAAAATGTTGTTTAAATCTTTGGGGATATTTAGCAAATATGGCTTGAAATGAAATCTCTTTGAACAAACATTTTCATTTATTTGTGGGGAATACTGATAAGGAAATGGAATTGATTGGCAGCTGCATGTGTTATGCTGGGACCTATTAATAATTCCAATTAAACTGGCTCCTAAGAGACTGAGTATTTTGTAATCATAAATATTTTTCATTATGTTAAAAAATGGCTATATTCCTGACAAGCCCTGTTAGAATAGAACTATAAGAATGATTTTGTTAACTGGATTAATAGAAACCAGTGTAACTCTTGACCTAAATATGACTCTGGGATCATAACATACCATCTGAAACATGACACCCCAAACTGCCCTTCCTGTCAGTGGAAAGAGGAGCTGTTTGTCTGATGCAGAATGTAATGTAAACTTCCGTGTTTTGTCACCCACACATCTTAACAGTGAAAGTTGTATCATTTCAGTAAATCTGATCCACTTGAAGAAAAGTATTTCATATAGCACAAAGCAGCTAAAAACCAGGAGCAGACTAAGTCTGGATCCTCAGGTTCCCAGATCAATTATTTTAAAGGATCTGAGAGTAAATCAGTTAGAAACTAGGAGTGAAATCCTGGCCCACTAAAGTCAATGGCAATGCTCCAGTGGACTTCAGTGGGGCCAGGATTTCTCCCTAAGAACTTATTCATGGGTCTGAGCTCAGAGAAGGGATTTTCAGAAGTGCTAACCTCTGACCTAACCCTGCTTCTACCAGAGTCCATTCCTGTTGCTGGAACAAAGGTCACTGGGAACAAGAAAGGAGGCTCTGCAGAGCCAGCTTCACCTTTCATGCAGTTCCCTTTGACACTGAGGACAAGGATACATTTTGTGCCCTTGTAACACTGCATTAGCCAGGCTGCATTTTGGTCCTTTGTGGACAGTGAGATATAGTTTATCGCTTTCTCAACCACATTACACACCCCACCTATTTTCACAATTGGTTTTATTGTGTGCTTTCTGCTGGTATGATGAGAAGTAACTGACTTGTGAAAATATGCTGTTACTGAAAAAGTCAAGTTTATAGTAGCTTCTGTTATACATGTAGCAAAGGGCTTTAGCATTGTATGTTATCCCTTTCCCTGATGGTGAGGGCTTGGGTTTCCATATTATGTAAAATATACAAGGGCCATTTTTACATACCAGCTGTTAGCTTCTCTGTGACCTGAACCAGATATAAACAACTACTTTCCTGAGAAGAGATGAAATTTTGTAGGAAGAAGACTGCAAGATGACAGTTCCCTTGTGGCTCTCACCAAAATGAGATGGGAAATCATCATAAGGATATACCAGAGGAGCAAAATAATCTCTGAAGCAGATTTTTTTCTGTATGTGCCTGCTCACTGAGTGAGCAAGATATGGGAAAAGGAAATGGACTGAACATTAAATAAAGATAACCTGTTAGGTCTGTCTTGTCTGAAGTCACACAAGTCTTTTAATTAAGAGGAATAGCCTGTTTTCCTTTTCCATGTGGATTTGAAATAATTGACTTGCATGCTGTTGCACTTGAGATTCAGATATAAAACAAGATGAAGCTGGATCAGTCAACAGATGTATACAGAGAGCAGATTGCAGGAACATAGTGTTAATGTCTTCTTAACTGCACAGCCATGCTGAGAATCACTCCCAACTACTCCCAGAATGCAAAGCTTAGGATAAGCTTGCATAAATAAAATACAACCATAGGCCACAAGGTGGCACTTTTAGCTAAACATACTAACATTCTTTGTGCATATTCTTTAAATCTCCAGTGTTAGGGGCAAGGGCAAGGATGTGGATCCAAGAAAAAAGATGCAAGAAATGCTTGGCAATTATAAGTATCCAACAATGCAGGGTGAGATCGGTATTAGGTGTTTCATGAAGCCTGATTCCAACTTTGATAATGGGTGTTCTTGATGTCTGTTGGTCTCCTGGGTGGAACTGTATGTGTTGTCAATGATATTTACCCTTGACAAGCAAACATTACCCAGAATCAGAATGGGTTATTGTCCCTGATAACTATGAAGCAGCCTCAGACATGGTCTGCAAATAAAAAGAAGCAATGAAATAGTAAATAAGATCTGTTATGGTTAGATTCCCTCAATAAACTGGCACGTGTCTTTATATCAGTCATATTGCAGGATAGCCTTACCAATATCACAATACATTCTATCACTATCTTACTGGTGACATATTTGCTGTTGTGCAGCTGGTCTGATCCTGTGCTCTGAACATGAAACTCGTCTAGTTGAAGACTTGTTCAAGAACTACAACAAAGTAGTGCGCCCAGTGGAAGATCATCATGAGGCTGTTGTGGTCACAGTTGGGCTGCAGCTTATTCAGCTTATTAATGTGGTACAGTATGAATGATGACACTTAACTGTGTTTTTATAATAGCTTATCAAATATTTCTTCTGAATAAGCTTTACTCCTAAACTTTGTTTGTTGTTTGAAGGATGAAGTAAATCAGATTGTAACCACCAACGTGCGCCTGAAACAGGTAACCTCTGAATGTCATTATTCTTGCTATTCCAAAGCAAACCAACACCCTAGAGCTAATCAGGAACGTGCTACTCTCTGGTTTCTAATACTATATACTCCACGTTTTTGTTATGGTTTCCTGAAGCAGCTCAGGAAGATGGCAGAACTAACTGATAATTTCTTACACCAGTGTTTCTTAAACAACAGAGTTCAAAATGGTCACCCTTAAAGGGTCAGGTGACCTTTTTTTCCTTCTTTTTTGCTCAGTAACCCCTAGTCTCTCTTTTTTTTTCTTCTCAACAAAAAATCCTTGGTGTTCCTCATAAAAAAATTATTGTTTGGTGTTCCTCCATCATAAAAAGTTTAAGAAACACTGCTTTATACAGAGCTGGAACCTTGAATTTCCATTGAACAACATAGAGCTACTGAAAAAAGGTACTTTGCATGGGACAAGACATTTAGATAAGAAAGCAGCATTGGTAGAAGAATACATACAGTACTTTTGTGCCTATTTACCTGTATCAACAGTATGAAATCATAGATCTTGGAAATATTAGATTTAGTTCCAGCAATACTGATAACTGGTTGTCACTGGCCAAAATTCTTTTTTAGCAATGGACAGATGTCAATCTAAAATGGAATCCAGAAGAATATGGCGGATTGAAAAAAATTCGTATCCCATCTGAGATAATCTGGCGGCCTGATATAGTTCTTTATAACAAGTAAGTAGTGCTAGCGGTACAAAAATTCTGCGCAGAGCCTCATATAACACAAAAATACAGAATCTGAAGCAGAGGAAGGGAACCAGTAATCAGCCTCTTCAATACCTATTGGAACACTTTGTGTCTAAATGACTGGCTGAGATGAGCATCACTTGGGATTAGTAAAAGAAAAAGATTGAGGGAGAGAAGGTCTAAAACAGGGTCTGACCATAATAGCAAGCCCAGTGCAGGACAGAAAACTTGTCCATCCTTTGAAGATCAAGATAAATTCTTAGCACTCACCCCTCTTCATACCCTAGTGACAGGGGAATCACTAGAGTACATCCTGGTACTTCAGGTCTGAATTCAGTCTATGGGTTTTGTATTTTGTGAGCCAAATCTCCACCCAGATACCTCAGAGCAACCCTTTTACTCAGTATATACTCTTTCCGAGTCTCCTTCACAAAGATACTGTATTATATGTATGTCCGTTATGCTGTCTGTGTCACTGTACATTTCCTTTTCCTTTTGCAGTGCAGATGGTGAGTTTGCTATTGATCAATTCACCAAAGTTCTTTTAGAACATACAGGCAAGATCACTTGGACACCACCAGCAATTTTTAAAAGTTATTGCGAAATTATAGTCACACACTTTCCATTTGACCAGCAGAATTGCAGTATGAAGTTGGGCACCTGGACGTATGATGGTACAGTGGTTATCATAAATCCGGTATGAACTAACTTTTTAAATGGGGTTACCAGTAGATATTGAATATTTGAATCTGAATTCTTTTTCCCATGTCACGATTTAAGTCTTGGGTTTAAATGTTAATTGTAAACTGCTCTGATTGAAAAATAAAACAGATATTAAATTACTAAAATTATTAATGACAAAATGTAGAGTGTACTAGCAAACAGTATTCAGCACTATAGGTTTCCTAGAGCTGTTCTGCACACATTTAGTGCATTGACTTCATGGCTCCATTGACTTCAGTACAGCTATGGTAACTCTTTGTTAACTATAGTAGTATTAGGGCTTAGTATTGGGATACAGCCACTAGATTGTGATTACATTTATGTCAGGAGGGTTGACATTCTCACTCCTGAAACAGACTACCCTCAATCATATTCATTGACTATCTCTCTTTTTTTCTCCCTCTCTCGTTTTCTATCACCTCTACCACTGTTGCAGCTAAGTGCCATCTCTAAATCTACTTAATAACTGCCCTCTTGGTTTTTAAAAACCTGTGCACACTAGCTTCACTGACTTCTTATCTGCCTAGCCTCCACCCAGTTCACCCCACTTCTGTTTGAGCCTCTTAAGTCACACTGCTTGCTGATTTCTACTGGCTGGTTTTTACTTGTGATTTCCTACCTGTTCCACTTGGAATCACTCCCTTCTTCTTTAGATATTGCAGTGAAGACTCCCCTTTTCTCTTTAACTTGACTAGTTGATTCTTTCTGTAGAACATCTTGTTGAACGGTGTGTAAAAAGCACAATATTAAAATAAATGTAACCTAGAAGGGAATGGCTCATTTGATTCCTAGTGAAACCATATTCAGTATACTCCCATGCTTCTGGCTTTGCAAGCAATGTAAAGGTTTAATTTAGTGGTAAGTAGCTCTATTGAGATTTACTATTTATCCTGTCAGGAGAGTGATCGCCCGGATATGAGCAACTTTATGGAGAGTGGTGAGTGGGTGATGAAAGATTACCGGAGCTGGAAGCACTTTGTTTACTATGCCTGTTGCCCTGATACTCCATATCTGGATATTACCTACCATTTCCTCATGCAGCGCTTGCCTCTCTATTTCATTGTCAACGTCATCATTCCCTGTCTGCTCTTCTCATTTTTAACTGGGCTAGTGTTTTATCTGCCCACCGATTCAGGTACGTGCATTCATTAAGTTACTGTGATAAGCTCCTGATTCTCAAAGAAAAGAGTAATAACTCACAATTAGTGGGATGGCAGATGTTCAGCAATATGTCAGGATCATGTGCTAAACTGATGGACACTGTAAACCTAGCTGACAAACAGTTTAAACTCTAAAACTGCTATTAGATATGCCTGGCCGAGCTCCCTTGGAAATCAAGGGTCAGTTATCCATTTAACTGGAGGCCAGGTTGGACTGCTTGGTTTTGTGCCTGAAATTAATGTATCAAATATGTTAAAAAACAAGCAAATCATGGCCCTGGAAACCCTACTATAGGATGTTTGGGTTAAGGGATTATTTTGGTCATTAGCTTCTGTGACTGCATGAATCAATATAATAAGCAACTCTGGTCTCATCCTGGCCTGTGGCCTAGCCCACTATTAGCTGCTGTTGAATCCGAGAAGCATTTATTCACTGCAACCATTTTTTGGTGCTTAATTTATTTTTTAATCCATACCAAGAATTTGCATCTTTCCCTTGGTTGCTATTTTCTTCAATTTCCCTCTGAAAAAAGGTCTTATCAGAAGCTTTTGCAAAAAAAATTACATGCCACTGGAGTGAATGTTCATTGTGATTTGTGGGTCAGTTTTGTCACCCCTGTCCTAAAGGAAGTCTCAAATATTTACTGAGCTTTAAGGCCATATGCTCGCTTGTTCAGCCAGCCAGCCAAAGGTGAGGCTGTCATTTCACCAGAGCGAAAAACAAAGCTACCTAAAGGAGCTGAAGAAATCACCACAAAGGCACAAGCACTGAGTTGAGCCTGTGTCCACTCACTTAACACCTGTGGCTCATACAGATACTCATAGCAAGTGAGTTGTCAGTGCCTTCAGCCTGTCCTCAGTCCTAGTTGTGTCCTGACAAACTCCAACCTGATACGGGGGGAGCGGTTGATCCTATTTTGGTCCCTCCACAATGGCACAAGAACTTCAATGACCAGCCAGATTTGATACTTTTGGTAATGTAGAGATGTATAAGTAGTCCAGATATAGGTATCCCTTCAAGTATTCAAGGTGAACAGCAACCAACCACCAATGAAATCACATGGTTTCTCTCCCTGATGAACACCTTCTGCACTGCCCTGCACTAATAGCATTTGTTCTGTGTGGCAGGTGAGAAGATGACTCTGAGCATTTCTGTTTTGCTGTCTTTGACGGTCTTCCTTCTGGTCATTGTGGAGCTGATTCCCTCTACTTCCAGTGCAGTGCCTTTGATTGGCAAATACATGTTATTTACCATGGTGTTTGTCATAGCATCAATCATCATTACCGTCATTGTAATCAACACCCACCATCGCTCCCCAAGTACCCATGTGATGCCACAGTGGGTGAGGAAGGTAAGAAGGGTTATTTGTGAATTTCTCCGCTGCCGTGGGGCTTTGAATATTTAATTCTGAGACTTATGTAATAAAAATCTCAAGGTGTTCGAGGAGTTGCCCAATCCAGATAAATCTCTGAGCAAGCAGCATCAGGGCTCCCTGGCTGAGATGCAAAATAGAAAAATTGCCTAGTATTGGTAGACTGTCACAGAGAAAACCCAACACTTGGGAGACAGGTGGGGTAAAACAAAGTAGCAGCTGTAAGCACAGAGAGCCAGAACTAGGTAGTCAAGTATCAGAGGGGTAGCCGTGTTAGTCTGAATCTGCAAAAGCGATGAGGAGTCCTGTGGCACCTTATAGACTAACTGAAGTGTAGGAGCATAAGCTTTCGTGGGCAAATACCCACTTTGTCAGATGCAGGTAGGTTGTTTTATAGCACTTTGTGGGAACCCAGAGATTATCAGGCTGCATCACTCCTGATCCAGCCAGTGGCAAACCCCCATCAGCCATCTGCAGAGCTCAAAAAGCGCTTCCCATGCAACTCCCATTCTTCTGGAGACTGACAGCCAGCGGCCCAGCTCAAGTCCACATTTTCTGCCCTGCTCTCCTGAGAAACAGCATTGCTTCAAAGTCATTGCGGAGGGAGGGAAATCTACTTTTTCACCTTAAATGAGGGTCACAGAATTTCCAAGACTCATGGCAGAGTTGTGTGTATGTCACCACAAGTGCTTCATCAAGGGAACCCAAACCATCCATGGCCATGCCAGCCAGTCTTTCCATCACTCAGCTTGCATGACCTGGCATTAAGCTATATAGGGCAGACCTACAGCATACAGACCTGAACAAACATACCGATGGGTGGGAGCAAAACAGGCAATCGCCCAGGGGCCCAAGTGATTTAAAAGGCCCCAGGGATCCCCATTGCCACAGCATTTGGCTTCCTTCCTTGCTTCGTGCAGTTCCCAGAAGAGGTCAGCACATCCTTATAGACCCTAAGAGAGAGGAAGTGTCACCACATGCTGCCCCTGCTCTGAGCGCCAACTCTGAAGCTCTCATTGATTGGTAACTGCAGCCAATGGAGCTGCAGGGGCAGTGCCTGCAAGCAGCAGTTTGAGGAGACTGCCAAAAAAGTGTGCTGGTGGCTTTCTGGAGCCACTCCGGCTATGTTTGGACTCTGTGAAATGTGCGTACACTTTATATGGAATCAAGAAAATGTTTCCTGAAAATGTATGAGAGGCTTGTGATGATTCAGTCAGCCCCAGGGCATCAGATGTATACAAGACAAGTAAAGTGCGACTAAGGTTCAGGCTGTGACATACTTGCAAATAGGGAATTCCTAGTGAATCCAATGGAGATTATTTGGTAGTTAAGAATCCTTGAAACTGTTTTTGTTTTGTTGCAATGTCACATCCGTAAGACAATACAAAACCCAATACATTTTCTTTTTTCAGATCTTTATTGACACTATCCCAAATGTTATGTTTTTTTCAACAATGAAACGACCATCCAGGGATAAACAAGAGAAAAGGATTTTTACAGAAGACATTGATATTTCTGAAATCTCTGGAAAACCATGTCCTGCTACCGTCAACTTCCACTCCCCCCTTACCAAAAACCCAGATGTGAAAAGTGCTATAGAGGGAATCAAATACATTGCTGAAACAATGAAATCAGATCAAGAATCCAGTAATGTAAGGCATTTTTTATCTGTGATTCATCCCTCGCTTTTAAAATAAGACACTTAATTTTCTGGGAATACTAAATCTTTCCGTTTCTCATAAGTATACCCCAAACATAGTCTCTGCCTTATCATAGAGCCCTGTTCTCCCCTTGATGCAATCTGTAAAGAATGATAAATAATAGCTTCAGATGACAACTGAGTCTTTGAAAAAAAATGTGCTAAGATTTTCCAAGTGTACTACATGAGCTCAGAGTGGAATGAGCACAAGTAGTTAGAAAGGTTTCAAGGAAATTAACAATATTCCAAAACAGATTCCTAATATATTCCATTCAGGATATTTTCCTAATATAATAGGCAGTTTGCAACACACCCAAAGCTGGAAAATGAACCTGAACAAAACATCATACCCAGTCCCATGCATGGCACGCTACTCTGTACTCACTCTCACACTGCTTGTCTTCCCATAGAAGTTGCTCCGCAAAAGAGCTAACTCAGAGCAACTAGTTTGGAGGGCCTTGTACTGGCGAAGCCAGCTGGGGCACCATTGTCTGCCCACAGCTCAGAACTGAACTGATCCCTACAATAGAAAAGGGAGTCATGTCCCAAAGGTTTCTCGGTGCAGAAACTGGGGACCATGAATGACCTTACACCTGTAGGGGAAATGGTGTCTGGTTCTTAACACTCACAATTGGAATATACTTTTAAGGCTCACTTTGCAGCCTAAGGACACAAGTTCCATTGAGAGCCAATTGGAACGCACTTTAAAAATTTTATACATATCAAAGCTAGTTGAAAATGAAGTCCCCACAATCAGGAATAAGCCTGTGGCTGAATGTTTCTAATACTCTGAAAGCCCCACTCCAGCAGCTGCTCAGTAGTGTGTGGGAATGTAATGTGTGTTCAAGTGTCTTTGCCAGAAACACCATACTAAATCTCTGCTCTTACAAAATGAACAATATGCTCTTTTAACCAGTGTAGAACACACAAGACCTCTGTTCTTAAGACATCCATTATAAGTAAGGATAAAGGGTTGAATCATCCCTAAATTTGAAGTTGGGGTCTGGATAGCATAGGCATTCCAGACCACTAACTTATTTCAAAATAAGTATTCTTCCATAATAATACTAGAACCCAGAGAAAAGCTTTCCTTTGCACAAGACAGTAATTACCCACACCTCCATACACTGCCTTGAAAGGCACATAGCTCTCTGGAGATTCTGATTGTCTCCTCTTTCTTTCATGTCCAGGCTGCAGAAGAATGGAAGTTTGTTGCAATGGTAATAGATCATCTTCTCCTTGGTATCTTCATGCTGGTTTGCATTATTGGAACATTGGCCGTGTTTGCTGGTCGTCTTATTGAATTAAATCAACAAGGATGAACATTAACTCTAAAAAGTGTACTACCCCTTTCCAGGGGTAGCACATCCTTATTTACTTCCTTGGCTTTTATTTAATACATTTCACTGTCCTACCTGTTGTGTTCATCTCACCTCTTGGAAGGTTCCACATCTAAGAATCACTTCCCACGGGGAACAAAAAAGAACATATTAAAATGATGTTTTCCACACTTGGCATTTCTGAGCCACTTTCTGATGATATCTCTTATGTCAAAAGAAAAAGATTTGTATCACTAACAGCATGACAGTGCTATGGAAATGGCTGTAAAACCTATTCTGTCTTATTTTAATAATGTATAAATAGAATGTTTAACTTTGAAACATATTAAGGGCCAGATTCTGCCCCAGCTGCAGTCCATGTCAATAAGGTATAACTGATGATAGGATTCTTCACTTCAAGCTTTATCAAGGCATTAGCTCAGTATCTAAACTTAGCTTTCAAGCTGGTTTTAAATCTCTTATGTGTCGTTTCTGTATTGGCCATGTCACCAATGACCCTTCCATTAGCAAGAGAGATGTCATTAGCAAACATCTCTAAAATTCCTTTCAGTGTGTTTTTTTTTCAACAACAGGTGACTCTGTGAAAAGTGTTTCTGCCCGTGGAAACTTTGCTTGGTTCAGCAAGGAGGAGGCAACTTTCTTGTAGGGGGAAATCTAGCCTTGCCCAGTAAACATGATCCGCATAAGAACTCCTGTCTGCCAAGTCCCAATGGAGCCACCTGCATGCAATTTCACAGATAGAACAACTGTGCAGGGGGAATGTGCACCCATTATTCATAAAGAGGGTTTTGTGCCTGTCTCAAATAAAGGGAAGATGTTGGAAACAGGCCAGGAGCTGGGTCAATATTGATAGTGGTGATTCTAAACCCCTCATGGGGTGGCAGGAGGCAGTGCCCACTTTTGGCTGAAATATCAAGTGTGGAGAGGCTGCTCACAGGCACGTGTCATGGATTCCTTCCCTTGCCACATGCAACACAGAGTTTCCTGCACAAAGGATTTTCTACATTCTGAGTACAGAAAGACAAACAATAACATTTCTCATTTGGTATTCCTTAAGTGAGCCATGTTGGTACAAGGATGGATATCCACAACTAGGTGCAGTAAGATCTATTTCTGATCCCACATCTCCTTCCCCCTGCATGCTCACTCCCCTCTTCCAACCTCAGCTTTTTTTCTGAGGGTGTATCTCCACTTCAAACTGGGGCTGTGATTCCCAGCTGGAGGTGACATACCTGCACTTGCATTGACTGACTGAAAACACTAAAAATACAGTGCAGCTGGAGCTGTAGGAGGGAAGTGTGCACCCACCATAGGCACATACTTAAAGTGGCCATATGCACTGCTACCACAATGTTGTTTTTAGCACACTATCTAGATAAGAACTAGCATATATTTCCTCAAGCTGGGAATGACCCCCTGCACCTCTGAATGTCAACATACTCCAAAATGTAATCGGACTGAGGGAGTAACTTATGTATCTGTGACTTCTCCAGTTAATTCTTGACCTGTAGATGATTCCCCATATCCAAAATCCCAGCTGTGTTGACTGTGTTGATTGGTTTTGACTCGACACACAGGTAACTTGGAATTTTTTCAGTTTGTTTACTGGATGAGAACCATTCTTACAAGCAAGTTGTGGATACTTCTATTTCTGAAATCAGCATTTGCTTTCTAGGAATATACTACTGTTGGCCTAAAATGTTGTACCGTTCCTGCTTTAAATATATCAATTGGGGTTCTCAGAAAACTAACAGAAAAGCAGTGTGAGTACAGGGGAAGAAACTCCAGTTTCTCTTTTGACCAGATATTCACAGCACGTGTTTTGATGCTCCCATACAGCTGTGTGACTGAAGTTGAAACAATCCTTCACTATAGCAAGAGGGAGAAGGTTAGTCCATGGCACTGGGCTATGGAAACCTCTCAGCTTTAGGTCATGGTTGAAATCTTGACCAGTTGGGTAGTGGCTTATTTGTTACCATTGGTGGCTGTTGTTTGGCCTGTGTACAGGCCCAGCTTTGTAATTTGGGGGGGGGGGGGAGCAGGCTCCTGGGAAGGGGATCAAACCATAATTTGCTTAACCTGGTAGTCCTGGTACTGAAAGGGGATATAGGGCCTGCCAGTGAATTGTAGAGCTAGCACGAGATATCAAAGTGCCATGCAGCTGCCTTTTTTTTGGTCATGCTTAATGTCAGCCCTTTGTGAGTGAAAACAAATGGCTATCAGAGTACTGTTCCTGACGGCCCCGGCTGTGAGGCCTCCATGTCCCAAAGAACATCTGGTTAGTAGTTTCAGGAGAAAAGCAAAAGAATGAAGGTTCCTGGAGACCAAACTCCCCTCTACGCTCTAGAGATGATGGTTGGAACACACCAGCCACTAGTGCGAGGTGGTGTTCAGTGGTCTCTCAGTCAGTGTTTAAGGTGCTCATGAGAGCTCTGCTGGGTTCTGTGATCATCTCAGTTCTAACAGCCTGCTTTGCAGCTTCCCCCCACACCATAGGTTGAAGTAAGATACACAATTTGAGCTATGCAAATTTTGTATCTAATTGCAATCGTATTTTGAAATAGTGTATTTCATCATTTGGCACTGTCTACACAGCACCATATTTCGAAATAACCTGCTATCCTGAAACGTTCCTTACTCCTCATGGAATGAGGTTTATCGGGACATCAGAATAACGAGACCATTATATTTTGAAATAACGGGCATGCTGTTAAGACACGGGATAGCTATTTCGGGATACCGGAGTGTAGATATAGTGTAGACATAGCCTAAGTCACATTAGACAGCTCAATATCTCTATATACAGCATGAAGATGTTTCATTGGAAAATATACCTCAGTGTCAACTTTAATATAACATTAAGTGACAAATACAGTGAAATAAAAATACACCGTTTTAAATAACAATGATGTACCAAAGCAAATGTGCTACAACTCAGATAAGTTAGCCAGCAGCTCCGTCTTGTGGTAAAATGGAGTACTGCTGCTTTTGTAAGTGTGAGCCATTTCTGAAATATTTGCTATTGTAGGGATTTTTAAGTCAACATTGAATGTAGTTTTGGTGATACAAACTTCTCCCTTTGCAGTGTATTCTTCCTGAATAATGAATAGAAATGAAAGAGAACGGATTTAAATTAATTATTTCTCTTTCAAGATAGCAGCCAAAATCAGTGATGTTACTATCTCAATAGTTCTAAATAATTTGCTGTAACTTTAACAAAGCAACTTTGAAAGTAGTATTGTGCTATTGTTCTGCAAGAATTATATTGTGTGTTCGGATTATATGGACATTTGCAATATACTAACAGCTAAATTCATCCCCACTTTAATATGTAAATCTCTGCCAAACAAGAAGTTGTGGAAGCTCAACTTGAAGGGGGGGGGGCAAGGTTTGGAGATGTGAACTGCGGAGTCTGATGTGCAGAGAAAGCTGCAAGCCTGGGGCCATGGTAGTGGTGGGGGGATGGGGAGGGATAGGCACTCACCTTGACCTTGGAGGTGCACAGCTGATCTAGAAAGCAGCACAATGGGGGCACCTGCATCAGCACAGCATCCACACTCCCAGTCCCAGGCACCCAGAGCAATGGCTTATCTGGCTTCTTGCTTCCCATGCTGGCTGCTGAAGGAGAAACAGCCCTTCCCCATTCCAAGAGCCTTATCTCAGACTAGCTGCCACTTCCTAGCTCAGATCAGCAGCACCACCTCCTTTTCCTGGAAGTGAGCAGGCTGGGCCAAAGAAGGAGTAGGACTCAGGCTGTCCCACCTTGTATTTCCCAAGCACAGAGGGAATATTGTGTAGGCAGAAACATAGCTCACCCTCCATAATTTGTAAGCCAGGGGTCTGATGAACTGCTTGCAATGCAGCCAGCTGAAGTTGTTTAACCCTGCAAGATAATTAACTGTTGATATGTAAATACAGCTCATGCTGGGATGGGGAAGGAATCCGGGGTGTGGTTATGTAAATCCAATTTAGCCAGGGTTGATGAAGGATCAGTTATTAGAATGGAATGTGATGTACTGTAACTAATTTGGGCTGTTGTGGGATCACAAACCATGCTACCCCTAAATGTGGGAACTGTAAAATATGACACCAGTGCTTGCAGGAGAGACACCATCATTGTAAGGATCTCAGATAAACAAGCCTTCCCCTTCCAGAGTTGAGTGAACTGAGTTAGGGGGGAAAGGACTTGAGCTGTCTTGCTTCATGCTGGCCAGGTGTGAGCTGTAAGACTGGTTCAACCTGCCTTCCCACCCTCATTCTAAGGATAGACCTAAAGCAGACTCCATCAGGAGTCTTTTTGTTATTCCAGCGGAAGCTGGAATCTTTTGCCAGCCTAGATAGTGGCTAAAAAGTTGACATCACTAAGAGCTGAAGTCACTGCTTTGGCCTGGAGCCAGACCCATTGCGGCCAGCAAGGTGACTGGTAGAAGCAACAGCAGGCAGCCAGCAGAGTGGCTGGTGGGAAGACCGGTGGGCAGCCAGTAATAGCAGTGGCAGATGGGCAACTGGCAGGAATGGACAGCCAGTAGGAGCAGCGGCTGGTGGAGCAAGCAGACCATAGGAGCAGCACAAAGGTGGCATGGCCTCAGACTCAATGAATGGAGTCATCAGGGTGATGTGTCAATGTTTGCACTGACTGAACAGAGCTGTAAGTGGAGCGTTTGAAGTGGGGTACAGAGAAAGTTTGGGTAGGTGAATGGTACCCTTACATTGGTGGACGAGTGAGCCTGAGAGGCAAAGGACATTGCTCAATCCATTTGAGCTGAGACGGTTACTCGTGCAAGGTTATGAACTCTGTTCATGGTATTTTCCCAAGCTAATGCCATGTGACCTCTCTCTCTCTTTCATTTAAAGTTTCTTTTCTACACTCAGACTCTGTGCTTGCGAGTGAGGAAGCATTGCCTATCGCACGCCCAGGGGTGTGTGAATTTCTCAGGCTACTGGATGGGGGCTCAAGCCCGTTCTGTGTGAGATGGATGAAAAGGAACGCCTAGATATTGAACCTGGCCCTGGCTGCTGCCCGTACTACCTGGCAGAAGGAATACAATTTTTTCCTCACTAGTTCCTGCCGTCAACTCAGTTCTGCTGCCCCAGTGCCAAATTAAATGCTTCCTGTTTTTTGCTGATTGTTGGTTTGGTGAGCTACAGCCTCAAACCACAATTAAGTAAGTTTTTTGTCTAGACTGGAGTCCTGCTATTTGCAATACTCCACCAAGTGTGAAGGGAAGGAAACTCCCAATTCACATCTTGACATTCTCCTGCTCTCTGCTACCAATGAGTCTATTATCCCTATGAACCACCACTGAAAAGCTATGTCTACACTACAGGGTTTTTGCGCAAAAACAAAAACCTGCAGAGCGTCCACATCTCAAGTGCGTTTTTGTGCAAGAAAATCTACAGTCGGTCAACAGAACATCGGGCTTTTTGCGGAGTAAGTATACCTCCTACAAGGCACAACTCCTTTTTGTGCAAGAGTTCTTGCGCAAAAAGGTGTGTGTGGACATTCAACAGGGGTTTCTTGTGCAAAAAGAGCCTATCACAAAAAATCACAGGTGCTCTGATAGCTAGTCATAGAATGGTCATCAGAACTTTCTTGAACAAGAGTGTCCATGCAGTGTGGACGTTCTCTTGTGCAAAAGCGCATCACTTTTGTGATGTGCTTTTGAGGTGTGGACACGCTTTTGTGCAAGAAGTTTTTGCGGAAGATCTCTGCAGTGTAGACCTAGCCCAAGTGTAAAGGCAAGGTCTGTGGTCACAGAGCTAGATGTACCATCCTTCTGTGGCTTTGGGTATGTCTCCACAGGTCTCAGGCCTTATGCCTTTGCCTGACCTAAAGTAAAGTACACTAGGCACTGCAATCAAGCAGCCAGTCTCTCTATTCCAATGCTTATCCAGCAGGTGTGACTAGATTGGGTACCTGCAGTTCTTCCCTGCGGGAGCTTGTGACCAGCAGTAAAACCAGTGACCAGGCAACCTTTTTAATACATAGTGGCTACGTCTAGACCGGCATGATTTTCCGCAAATGCTTTTAATGGAAAAGTTTTCCGTTAAAAGCAGTTGCGGGAAATGCTTTTCCGCAAAAGCACTTTTTGCGGAAAAGCGTTCGTGCCAATCTAGATGCGCTTTTGCACAAAAAAGCCCCAATCACCATTTTCGCAATCGGGGCTTTTGTGCACAAAACAAATCTGAGCTGTCTACACTGGCCCTTTTGCGCAAAAGCTTTTGAGCAAAAGGACTTTTGACCAAACGTGAGCAGCATAGTATTTCCGCAAGAACACTGACAATCTTACTTGAGATCGTCAGTGTTTTTGCGGAAATTCAAGTGGCCAGTGTAGACAGCTGGCAAGTCTTTCCGCAAAAGCAGCTGCTTTTGCAGAAAAACTTGCCAGTCTAGACACAGCCAGTTTGTTCTGAGTAGTATGAACAAAGCATTAAACCTAACAAAAGGAGAATTTTAAAATTGCAAAAGTTCTACCACTGACAATCTTACTTGAGATCGTCAGTGTTTTTGCGGAAATTCAAGTGGCCAGTGTAGACAGCTGGCAAGTCTTTCCGCAAAAGCAGCTGCTTTTGCAGAAAAACTTGCCAGTCTAGACACAGCCAGTTTGTTCTGAGTAGTATGAACAAAGCATTAAACCTAACAAAAGGAGAATTTTAAAATTGCAAAAGTTCTACACATCTATCATAACTCTTGTTGGGGACCCGAGATGACTCACTCCTCCCCAGACCTCCCACATCAGTCTGTAGGCTCTCAAGCTAAAGAGGGGTAGCCCAGTTAGTCTGTACGGCATAAACTTAAAAAACAGCAAATAATCTGGTAGCACTTTATAGACTAACAAAACATGTAGATGGTATCATGAGCTTTTGTGGGCACAGCCCACTTCTTCAGATGACTGGAGTGTTGGATGTCCAGAACCAAAAATAAGGAAGGAGGAAGAGGAGTGGAAGGGAGGGGGGGGGGGGGGGAGGGGAGGGGAGGGGAG